TCAAGATAATATTATGTGATAATTATAAAAATATTTTAATAAATTTGATTGGTTAATTAATTTATAATAAATTAAATTTTCAATTGACTTGACGTGTCAAACTTGACGTGTTAAACTTTATTAATAATGTCTGAAAGTTCTTCTAAAAATAACTCTTCCCCATCTCATCCAAAAAGAAAAAGAAAAACAATATCTAGAAATAAAGTAAGATGAAAATTTTCAAGTATTTGGAACTATTTTATTACTGGTAAAATAGTTAGAGGTGAACATTATGAAGCTACTTGTAAATTTTGTAATAAAAATTGGAAATGCGATATACCTAAAAAAATGACTGCACATATATGTAATGAATGTACCAAAGTACATGCATCTATTCATAAAACAGTTCTAACTAAATTTGTTAAAGAGTATAATTCTATTTCAACTAATGAAACTGAAGAAAAAATTGAAATTTCAAAATTATCTTCTTCTACCTCAAATATTCAAGAATTTTTTGAGAATGTAAATTTACCAGAAGGCCATAAAAAAGAAATTAATCATTCATTAATAAGAGCATTTATAATGTGTGGAATTCCTTTTTCAGTTATAGAAAATCCTTATTTTATTGAGTTATTAAAACAACTCAATACTGAATATAATCCTCCATCATCTAATACTCTTTCTGGTTCTTTTCTTGATGTTGAATCTGCAAACATTAATTTAAAAATTGAAAATGAATTAGAAAAAAGTAAAAATTTAACTCTTGGTAAGTTATCTTTTATAAATATTATTTCAAATAAATATTTATTAAATTTATTATTATTAGGTATGGATGAATTCAAATGGTTCTTCTATTTGAAATTATGTTATTACAACTTCAAATAATTGTGAATATCTATATAAACTTGATGATTTGTCAGCAAATAGTCATACGGGATCTTATTTGGCTTCAAAAATTAAAGAAATAATGGAAAAAATTGGTCCACGTAGAATTGCAGCAATTGTTTCTGATTCTGGTGCAAATATTAATAATGCACGATCACTTATAAAAACAGAATATAAGCATATTATTAATTTACGTTGTATTAGTCATTGTTTAAATTTAATATCTAAAGATATTATTAAACATCAATTTGCAGACTGTTTAATTAGAAGAGCAAATATAGTTACAACCTTTTTTAAAAAATCTCATTTAGCACATCATAGAATATCTAAATTAATAGAAGAAAAAAAAATTAAAGGTGGTGGATTAAAATCATATGTTTCAACACGATGGATAACTTGTCATGAAGCTACAGATTCCATCGTACGTTTATCCGATGTACTTCGTGAAGTATGTATAAAAATATATATAATTTTATTTAAATTATTTAAAATTATTTTTATTAATCATATTAATTTTTTTAAAAAA